TTTATTAACATTTAAAGGGTAAAGGAGAAAAGGTACAAGTTAATATTAATAATATTCAAGCATTGAGTTTTTATTTCATAAGAAAACTGAAGACTTTTTTATACATATTGAAACTTATCTCAATACAGCACGTAATAGAACATGGTTGATTCACCTTCTCATTATTCAACTTCTCATTAATGGATCTCAATGCCCATCTTGCTACTTATTCTGAGAAAAGTTTTGCTGAATCTTACGATTCGCGAGACTTCTTTGTAATGATATCGCTGAAGATGGTACATTCCAAAGCGTACATTAATGACCGCTCTCTCGTAATCTATATGTAGAAATTTATGTATAAATAAACGGATAATAATTGTCATTTATCATAACTTTCATACATTAAATTCCCGTTCTGCCTTTAATAAATTTATTATTATTACGTCAATAGTAACATTATTACTTCATAACAGGAAGCCATAATTATGATATCAACTGACACAAATGTCATTTAACCTACGATAATACTTTATTAATCGCGCATGATGCATAAATTATTTTCTAATATATCGCCTACATCATATATAAATATCTGATCAAAATCCGCCCACAGATACAGTATACTTTGAATGAAACTGCATTTTAATTTGCAGATTTAGTTCGATATAAAATAAAAAGTCAATCAATCTGATTTTTCGCTGTCCTCAGACGGGCTCGAATCCAAGTGGCCGCGAGGGTCGAGCATCTCATCGCAACTACACATATAGCGAGGGTAGCCAACATGGCAGTAATCAACACTCTCAGCAGCATCAACAGCAACAGAAGCAGCAGCAGCAGCAGCAGCAGCAGCAGCAGCAGTATCAGCAGGAGAATCCGAAGACGATGGTTCGCAGTGAAAGTGTCAGTGAAGAGTGTCTCAGTGATCGCTTGGGAAACAACGCGTACCGGAAGTCCTGCCACGACTCGAGGAAGACCTCGAGATCGGGCAGGTCCGAGAGAAACAGTGATGACGTCAGTGATCTCAGAAGCGAACCGAACGCCCGTACGGAGGCGGCGAAACACTTGAGACAGTATAGTGATTCCGTGGTGGACAGTGCTACGAGTGTGGATGATTTGTGCGATAACTTGAACGCCGCTTCCGTCGGCGGCAACGAGGGGGAGGCTCGGGATGCCATCACCAGACTGGAGCCGCGTGGGTTGCTCACCTTTCACAGATCCGGCGCGCCCTACAGGAGTGCCTCCTTCGGCCAGGTGGACTTTAATCAAGGTAAGCTTCCGTGTGCCGTGGAATACTCGCAGGCTGAGCTCGTTAGGAGCGAGTTCTCTCGCGAACCAAGTCTAATTAAATCAATTACAGGAAGACCCAGCTGTAGATTGCGTTTATTGTAATGTAAGATTTACTCTACTGTCATCACACTAAGCGGAAGAAAAATCGAGAACTACGTACTTACGTGCGATTAAGTAGATTTCTCTAGTACGTAATTCGTAAGATTTCAAAAGATATTTGATTATAATGAGGACGAAGCTATTTTTATCTGAGTTCTTCTCTAAATATCGATAATTTATACAAATCTTTTTAAGATATTTTTCGATACTCAGAATTAAAGTAACAATTTCGTATTAGATTTCAATCTTGAACTGCATACATAAAAGTTTCGGTTGTATAATGGAACTAGAAATGAGAAAAGTGCTAAGTGTGAAAATAATAAAACATCTGACGTGCATACAAGACAATATTATCTGCTTATATCATCATATGATTTTAATCTATTTGTTGATATCGCTAATAAGAATTTCATGCTTTCATGATAACATCTGACTGAAGAAGATAATTATTATTCTGGAATCTCATTAAATACAGAGAAATATAAAGAAATAATTCAAAAAGTAAGAGATAAAATTTACATAAATTTATTAATATAGAAATATAATTGTTATATTTTGTTAAGATATGCGTGTTGGAATTTTGTTGTTAAAAAGATTATTTTATTAAGTAATTTTATAAAGTGATATATCAAAAGAGAAATAACAAATTCATACTTTCAGTAACATGATATGAAAGGATATAATACTGAAAGTGTGAAAATATGGCGCCTCATTGATAAAACGGAAACACTTCACGCTTCCGCGGTAACAAATCTTTCAAGATACCTTTTACGTACGAAAGGTGGATTGCGAAGACGGATAACCAGGTCTTTTGAAATATCGTTGCCAGAACTTTTCTGCGCTTGCCCAAATCTCTTCTTTCCACAACCGAATGTAGAAGCCAAGTCTATTTTTCTGACTACCACTTTGTTTTACGTCGCATAGAGTTTAAACAAGTTTTATTATGAATAATAATCAGAATGTATATATAAATATCTTTTTCTTTTTAAGATAAATATTAGTTTTTAATTATAAACTAAGATTATTTTTAATTATAAACTAAAATCCATCTTTTAAATTGAATTTAATTTATAATTCATTATTGTTATAATCGAAAGCGATCCTTTTTTTAGTAAAATTTATTCACATTTATTATAATTTAATTTTAACATAATTCGAAAAAAATAGAAAAATATATTCTACATTCTATTTAAAAAAGATGGTTTGATTCAACGAATAAACCCACATAATTTAAATCAGATTTTTCATAATTCTATTTCTTCAAACACATAAGGTGCTATAATTGACATACGATTTTTATATTTATAGTATTAAAATTAAAATTTAATGAAATTAAAATTCAATGAAATTATATCGATTTTATTTTCCCGATTTAATCGAGAGAAATAAAATTTTCTATCGTATATTTTAATCGGTCAGCACGTTTCCCGGAACTCTGCCAACAAAGTGCGCGCTGTTTCGCGTCTTCGTGATCTCTCATCTCGCACGGTCTGTTTGTTATTATTGGAATGGTCCACCTCCTCGGCCTAAGAGCGCTGCCAAACTTACGTGACACTCGAGGAGGTAATTAGAACTTCCTTTGGTGTCTCTGCGTCTCTCGCCTTCTCTCACGACAGAGAGACGGCCTCACTCGGTTGCTCGGTGCAAGAGCACTCGAGTTATTATTGAAAACGCGCGTAATACACCTCTCCGGAATACGTCAGTCGGGAAACATTTGCAGAGACTATTTGAATTTGTACTTAATGCAATTAACAGGAACAATAATTAACAGTAATAATGATTTATTTTGGACAAAAATTTGAATTTGCTGTATACATTTTATATCATCTTTTAAATTTTTTACTTGTAGAAAAATTAATTTCCAATTATAATATAATTACTTCATATTATTATTTATAAAAAAAATATTATATTAGATTTGGTCATAATACATTACTTTTTTGAAGCTTTAAAAAAAATTAATAAAACACCAGTGTTTATTCTATATAAATTAATCTATTTTAGAATTATTCTTTTATCATAGTAGAAATAATTACCTTCTTTCTGAGTTATTAAAAATTTTTAATTATCATAACTTTAATATCTCGATATTAATGTACTTGTTTTTAAAAATATAATTCGCGCATCATTTTTCCATGAAATATTATATATTTAAAATATTTGAAATAATGCAGACATGTATATAATGTATATAAGAATAATATATATAATGTATATAAGAATAAATTTACTAACTGTTCGTGATTTTCTGCAAGACGCAGATTTTACTTTCAGCGCGAACTCGCACTTTCCTCCTCCAGCGAATCGACAGAAAACTCAGCCGATCGTGACGTCTAATCGCTCCGAGACCAAAGACGTTCGAGCGAGCACCTTGCCTCGTCGTCGGGGTGATGTCACCCCAGGTGACTCGACACCTCAAAACAGCCCCAATCGACAGAGTCCGAGGACGTCGACGCCCAGCGTCGACAGTGCTGTCGGCTCTGCCGAGGGTCTGGGTGTTTCTCAACAAGGGAACCACGAGGAGATCCGACCCAGAAGTGATGGCTCAGATAGTTTGGCGACTTCCAGCGCACTCACAAGCCCGGAACCTCTGGTTTCGGAGACGAACCAAATCGAGCCCAGGGTTGATTTGAACCAAACAGATGCGACTACTGTTGAAGTCAGCCATGAGTCCGTATATCCGATGATTGAAGGAAACATTGTGGAGGAAACTATTCAAAAAGGTTAGATTTTGTGAAATTTATTGACGTATGTCAGAATCTTATAAATTTCATATCTCGAGACAAATAGTGTTAGTTTAATTACTCAACACTTAAGATCGTATTATCTTATTATTATGCTTCACTTTATTTTATCGCGGTTTAGAATTTTTTTCAACTACGTTAGAGAAGATATTAATTTTTGGATATATTAATTTAGGGAAAAAAGAAATCACGTGTGCGCGCTTTTCCGTTGATACACTTTAATTTCGGAGGAAAGAAGTAAAGTTTCCACTCGCGGTAGTAGCTCGATTATGTGCATGAGAGATATCTCAGTAGGATATAAAACGGAAATACACTCGCGTGGGAGTGCGCGAGTGCGCGAGCGAGATCTGCTTGTGCCCGAATTTCGCGTTGCTCATCGCGAGGAAACAACAGCAGGAAACGAACAAGGAGGAGAAACGGTAGCCGCGGCGAACGTAGGATACTGCCGTCATCTATTGAGAAATGCGCGTCGGTTCATCATTTATAGTGAATAGAGCGTGGTTCCAGTCGCGTGAGAACGTCTATGCGTGAAGTCATCAATGAAGATGGCTATAACTCAATGACGCTCAAACGTCTATTTCCACTCTCTGGCACCCACCGTTCTGAAAATAGTGCCGCGCAAAATAACATGGAACTTGCGTGCACCTTTGTACCCATGCTCCTGTCGATGCACCCAAAATAGTCTTCGTTCTCTCTCGCGTCCCTCAACCCCCCTCCCCCCCGCACTACTCTTTGTCCATCGCCAACATCGCGAAATGCCTGGATGTCTGCTTGATTCGATTCTGCATTAATAAGTTCGATCTCTTTTCGAAGAATAGCTTTGCACCAATAAATTCTCACGCAAATTATTAACTTTTTAATCTAGATTAACCGACAGAAATTGAAACTTTAAAATTAAATTGCCATTAACTTTTTCTTAATTCAAAGCTTGAAAAATAAGCGAGAGCAAATTTAAAATTATTTTGTAAGTAATAACCGATTTAAAATGTTTGTGTGTTTTGTGTGGTTCAACATTGTTAGATCATAAATTGATTGTGCTGATGTTTATGTATCGATAGGTCCCAGTAGGCAATAATGATTATTTCGGTAAAGACATTTTGTTGACATGTACGACTGCCTGTGGCGGTCATTCTTTCTGTGTCTTTGCTCCACGATTGAAAGTAACGACTGACGTTACGAAAGTAAATTTCGGTAAATTTCGTATAGATTCTCTTACCTATTACGTTATATTTGTTTTATAGAGGTTTTTCTACTATGTTAATAAAATAAATATCATCTTGATTTCTTGATTTCTCCCGTCTGACGAACTCGAGACATTCTAGTCAAACATATTATCTGTTTTTAAACATTTGTGTATTTTATAAATAATAAAATATTCAATACAGAGAAACGTAAAACCTAAACAGATTTTTTTTTATATTATAATTTATTTTGTATTGTAGTAATTTAACTTTTACAAATTAAATTTAAACTTACAATTGTATAATGCAACAGAATAATAAGAATAAATCTAACTTCGAGATAGTTAGATTTTAAGTTAAAATCTTCAGGATTTTAACAGAAGTATAATCAAATAAGATGTGTGCCTAAAAGAATGCCTAAGAATCCGCTTCTATTCTTATACTCCAGTCTTAAAATGTATGTCTTAAAATATAGTCTTAAAGTATACAAATGTTTCAGAACAAACTCTAGAGCTTCGAACAAAATGTATTTGGCTTATTGTGAAAGTTTGAATTGCGAGGCTTACGTTCTCTCAAGATTCCTCTCTGGTGGTATTATTAATTGTTAGTCGTAATACCGATCAATCTCTCTCTGGTAGGCAGACAAGAATGACGAAAACGTGAAATTGGTTTTTAGAGACTAGAATAGAGCCGCACGAGGTGATCATCACACCACCTCCGGAGGAGCCGCGATTGAGCCAAGCGAGCGAAGGCAGCGAGGCACCGAGCGAGACGCCCTCGGAGGCGTCCTCGCCATCCGGCAAGGCGAGACGATACCGAGGCGACACCAGCAAGAGGAGGAAGGGCGTGTACATAACTCAATGGCCAGAACCCTTGGACGCGGAGAGGAACAAGCTGTCGGCTCAGAGCAGCGAGGAGAGAGACGAGCCACCTGCGACGCCTAGCGACCTGTCCGACTGCGAGGGCCACACGCCTCGAAGGTAACCGGAGAACGTACGCCCAGACCCGTCGAAATAGAACGGAAGTGCGCCTGACATGGAGATGTGGTTTAACGTACCTCCTCCTCCTTTTCCATTTCAAACTCACATTAACAAAGCAATTGTGATACTATGAGTCTCAAGCGAGAGTTTTTATATTTCGATTTATCTCATGGAATTTTATTGAGCTTGCACGCTTTAATATTTAGTAAAAAAAAAAAAAAAATAACAAAAATAATTTCAGAGGCATTGTCAAATATAGCGGAGAGATTTCTTTTGTTAAAGATTTAATAATTTTAGCTAAAGCTCTTACTCGATTGCAAATTAATATATTATTTAGAAATAAATCTCTCTTGTTTTGAAATATTAAGGTACAGCAAGAGACCACTTCGCGGACCCTATGGGCAGATGCTGGAGGCCGAGATGGCAAAGCCGCGCACCACCGACATCGCGTTGGAGGAGGGCCTTCGTCCTCGTAGAAAGATCTCCGCGAATCTCTCGTACAACACGAGCAGCAACAACAACAGCGGCTCCGAGCCGCCCACGCCCTGCCACCATCGGACGACCTCCAGCCCGACTAAACTCGAGGGACTTCCGGGACCGAGTCCTGAGCTGCTCGCGGAGCTGCTGAGAGGGTCCTCGGAGAGGGTGGCTCGCGCACCGGCACATCGAAACGTGAGTCAGAGATTATCTTGCTTCGATATAAATTGCCGGTTACAATGCCCCGACTACATTTCGCCCATTTTTCGCGATACGACGGAGATAAGGACGAGGGAGGGCCGTAAAGTATCCGCACGATTCGTGCAGCGCAGTTGTTATCGAAACATTTGATGCATGCACGATGCACGCTCCTTTTGATTAATGAACCAACCAATTTCGTCGAGAATTCTCTTCTCATACATCATCGTGCTACCATATTATTTTAATTGCACGCGAGAAGAAAAAGATGAAAAAGAAAAGTCAATCAAAGTTGACCATAATACAATTGTTATTTTAGATTTGGTGAGAGAGAGAGAGAGAGAGAGAGAGAGCTCTAGTAAAATTATCGAATTCTTTCTTTGAAGCTACCTTAGTTTTAATAATGGAATAAAAAAATAAATCGTGTCATTCACTTATTTATTATCTCTATAACATCTCTCTTCTCTCTGTGGGAGAGGTGATTTATTTGTACTCCCGCGCTGAGCCATGAATATGACTGGTTCTCGTCGACAAATTCTTCACGTTAAACGAATAAATCTCAGGACGAGACGGTCACATTTCGCGCTAAATGCGAGGCATAAATGCGAGCCAAAGAATTCTGACTCCGACTTCTTCCTCGAATTTCGCTTCTTTTCTAAATAGTTCGTACAAAGACTTCTGATCGCAGGCTTATCTCCCTCGTATCTCTGGCTCGTGCATCAGGTCGCTGGGTAACATCTGGTCGAGAGGGTAAAGCGCCGGCAAGCCGAAATCCGCAGTCCGAGCGAAACGAACGGCCGCGTTCGCATTCGCGCGCTTGTCCGAATCCAGCGCCGAAAACATAATCTAATAATAATATACGGCCATATTTCTCGGATGAGTCCATGCTTTGGCCAGTGCACTCGACTCGATTGGTGTAGTGGAGTCCCTACGTGACTCCGACTTGGCGGGGGCGTATATACGTGGATATTCCTGGCGGATTGGGCATACCTGTGTACGAGGACTGTGTCCGGTCCTCAACATCGACGCGATAATTCGCGTGCCACAATCACTTTGACGCGATCTCTTGACGCGACCTTGCGCGCTATATATCGCTTATCGTTCTATATAGAGCAACGCTTATCGTTTCTACATAGAGCAACGCTTTGCTTACGGATTTCTTGGAGAAACCTGTTTCGACCAGCGAAACGCGACATATATCTTTGTCAAATATATTTTTAAATTTATGTGCATTTTTTTTTCTCTATATAATATAAAAATTAGAAATATCGAGGGAATAATATATGGAGGAACATAAGATTATGTTGGAATATTTCTCGAATCACATTACGCTCCACTTTATAAATATAAATAATTATGT